CAGCAACTTTGTTTTTGCAGCTGTCCAGTGAACTTGGGAAGTTCATGGAATCATAGTTATTTAAAAGTGATATTTTTTTTTTCTCCATTTATTCATGCTCAGACATTCAGGGTTCATGTGCCTTTTGAGCATGTGGTGGAGACTGTATATGTATGGGTAGCTGTAGATAAAAGCAGCTTGCAATTTAATTTATATAATTTAATGCCACTATAAAATTTACTGGGAGTTTTTCTGCCGTTTATGTTTTTAGATAGTCCAAACTATTTCATTGTTATTTGCCCTATTCTATAAATCCCTCTGAAAAATGTCTGTAATCTAAAACTTCCTTTGTTCCCTCCTTAAATTAACTTCAACTCAATCAGCCCTTGCTTATCTAGGGAGACTCTTTAATTGCCAGTGTATGTTAAATGTCCCTCCTTTAAAAATATTTCCAAATACATTGTACAGGTGCTAGTACAGCAGTCTATGAAGCAGTAACCTGCAAAGCATATTAGATTTTTTTTTATTCTGTCCCTTATTGCAATGGACTGTTATTATGTTGAGTTACATAAGAGAGTTTTTATATATTTTGTTATTGCCATAGTTGAATACATACAGATTTCTTGGAAGGGAAAAGTCTGATTATTCAGTTGGTTTTTATGTGATATGTATGCAGCCTTGTGGAGGAAAAAAAAATGCTGTATTTATTGTACAGATGAAAGTACAGAGGATGTGTATTGTAGTTGCTGTATTTAATTGGGATTTTCCATTTTAGATTTCAGCACAATTACCTGTGACAGCTCCTGTTGAGTAAACTGAGAGACCTCCTTGTATCAGCTCTTGTACCCCTACCTGCCACAATGAGAACTTACATAAGGTTTCTTTTTCTTGTTAATTCATACTTCTATTGTAAAGTACTTGTTGTAAGCAGGTCAATTAGTAAACACATTCCTATAAGGATTTTTTCCTTTCTCGTTTAACAAAAGTTTGTTTCTAAAACTGAAGAGTAGAGCAGTATTAGTCTAAGAAGTATACAGGGCTAAATCACTGATTATGTCCTAAGTAAGATTAGTCCTGAAAACTACCGGTTTACTTCTCCCAAGCCCTTGGGTGTGTTTGCTGCCTTCCTTTTATCCTCACGGGGTGAATTACTTGTGCTTTTACTGTTTCCCTTTTGGTGACTGCTTCACGAAACAGAATTATAAATGGAACAGGTATTATGTGTGAGCAGAAACATCCCCTTCCACAGTATATTGTGTTGTATGAGCGGGATGTTCTTGCATGAATTAGCAGCTCTTTCATCCAGGATTTATTTTAATCTGCCAACCTTTCTTGCATCACTACTCAGGGTTTGAACGCTGATTCCTCAAAAACCCCAATACTAGTATGTGAAAGGTTATCAAAATGGATATGTATTTAAAAACCCAAGCATTTGCAGCAAACCTGATGCAGACTGCACCAGGTAGCTAAAGATATTTTCATGACATATGTGCTTTTATTTATTTTTTGTTATTAATTAGTTAGAAAACATGAAAACAAATCAAAACTTGTGCAGGCCCTGGGCTTTCTCACTTAATGAATGCTCTGTAGGATCCCTTTCCCCTACACGTGTTCTGTAATGCAAAAAATTTGGTTTACTTGCTCTCTTTTTTAAGATCAAAAGAGGTCGGCTACTTCTAAAGCTAGTAAGGTGGCCAGAAGTTGTAATTTCAATGAAATTTAAGCTTAGATAAAATATTTTGTTCAGTCTGATAGTTTTAAAAGTGAAATATATTAAACAGTGTATCCCTTTCAAAATTGAAGTAACTTTGAAAGCTTTGAAAACCTTGTTTTCAAACAAACTTTGAAAATTTCTCTGAAACCTTTTCATTTTTTTTTGAGTAGCTTTGCTAATTGGGTATTATGTCTTCTTGCTGAGTTTTTAGGATAGCTTATGGGATAACGGGGTAGAAATATGAACTACTACAGAGGAATATTGACATCATCATATTTGCCTAGAAGAACGCTGGCTTGAACCCCATGCTTGGTTTGGGCTTGAGTTCTCCTTTTACATTGTCACCAGGAGTTGAGTCTCTCTCGCAGGTTTTCTGTGAAATGTGTCCTGGGATCAGATTAACACGGAGCGATGTGTGCTCTGAAAACATTCAGGCTTCCTGTCTCCTATTTTGGTTTAGATGAGCAGTTAGGCCATACAATTTTCCATGGCATCTTGTTTGGGTGGCAGCTTCCTAGGTGTGTGATGAAGCACTTTACTGTTTTATCTTAGTTTAGAAAGTAGGTAGGCAGCTCAGTAAGAGCCACTTGTTATACCTTGCACTTGAGAACGTGGTTCAGTGTTTCCTCTTTGGGAAACCATAAATATATGTGTGCCTCACTGTGAATGCAAGGGAACCACGCTGAAGAAGCACGAGTTACAGTCCAATTTATAACTGCCTGAAAAAATGGGTACATTTTTGTCCTGTGAACTCTGGATTCAGCTTCAAAACATCATGTTCTACGCTACTATCAAAAGTAGCTTATTGGTCAGCATATGATTATTTTTATTAAGTATCCTCCAGTGACAGGCTAAGAACATAAGTCTCTTCAACTGATTATTGAATGTGCTGATTAACCTACTTAAGTTTTTATTTATTTATTTATTTAATTTGCCATCACTACTTTGCTTTTGGTTTGAAAATTAAAATGTAGACAGTTCTGTTTTTATTTCCTTTCTTCCTGTGCTGCCTGATCCAGTAATTCCCCTCACTGAAGAGCTCACAGACTTTATTTAGATATGTCTGTGGGTACTTTGCAGAACAGGTTGGTTCATTCGAGTCCTGCTATGTCGCTCATGTGATTGAGTGTTACAAAGAGTCCTTTGGTTACAATAACCTTTTTTTAGCAAGAGGTTGCTACCTAGATAGCTTTGGAGGTTTTTAAAAAATGGATGATTTGGAGAAAGATGGAATTAGCCTAATGGTGCAAATGTACAGTATTGGCTTATTCTGAAAAGGATCTAGAATTCTAAAACTCATGAAGCAAGGTCTCTTTCCATCACTAGTAGAGAAGCTTAAAATGTTAAACATTTTTTTCCCATTAAAAATCTTTTTGTTAGGTTTTTCAAAGAATAAATGAACGTTTTAAAATAAGAATACCGCAAAGGCGTTAAATACGCTGGTATTGACACCGTAGATGCGATAGCTATAGAACAGATTTCTAACTTTTTATTTTCTTTTTCCAGATCTTTTGGGATCTCCATCTAATTGATACATGTTTTCAAACTCTCTTCCGAAAGCTTCACAAGAAGCAAAAATGAAGCTGAAGCATGACATCAACCCTGTTCTTCTACAGTTTATAAACTTTATAATCTTGGTGTACTCCTTTATCACGTACATTCCATGGTACATACTATCAGGATCAAGGGAGGCTATAGCAAAATCCAAGCAGGTTAAAGCTAAACCTGTGAATAACAAGCCTGGGGGTGCATACAGATCTGTTAACAGTCAACACTGCTTAGCTTCAGTGCTATGTCCTGGATGTGATACACTTGACAAAGTTTTTAAGTATGCTAAAACTAAATATAAGGACAAAAAACTCTTGGGAACACGTGAAATATTAAAAGAAGAAGATGAAATCCAGCCATCAGGAAAAATTTTTAAAAAGGTAAGTCTGCCTTCTACATATCACTCTCCCTTTCTCTTTCTCTCTCTCTGTGTGTGTGTGTGTGTGTGTGTGTGTGTGTGTGTGTGTGTATATATGTGCAAGAGTTCAAATTCAGCAAAAGAAACTGGACACAAAGTAAATTTGTTAATGTAAATAGTCATGCAAAGAGTGATAATTAGATCATTTAACTCATTAATCAGCATTTAAAACAAATTGTAATGTTGTTTTTGCATTCTTGGGTACGTATTCTTTGTTATATTTAGCCAAAGGGGAGGGAAAATATTTAATTTATATATATCTGTATGTAAATAAGTATGTTTTTATGTATTTACCAGGTATGCAAGCAGATACAAAGTTATTCTTGTTTGAAAAAAAGATTGCAGAAACTTTCATTGGAAGATTTTTTTTTCTAGCCTTATTTAAGGAAAACCGTGTTTGAAAACCTGTAATCATAAGGGGCAGAAGTAATTGAAACAGGAAAAAAACTTTTTATGTTGTTTTGAGGATTGGGACTCAAGTTCAGGCCTGTGTTGTTGGTTGATTAATGTCTATTCAGAGACACTTAAAAATGTAGTTTCGCCTGAGGGAGCAAATCAGATTTCATTAAGAGAATGTATGTGCAGATGTGTGTTAAAGTTCAGCACTTCTGTATTAGAAGAGGTTGCTGTCTTCATGTTAAAAAAATCATTTTTGGATAAAATCAGTTTTTCTGCAAGAGAAGCACTTCTTCATATAATAAAGAATTCCTTAGATAATGCTAATTTTAACTCTGGTATTTGAGTGTAATGTTTAAAGTAGAATTTGGTTAACATTAAGTTTAATATGAGTAAGATTTGTTCTGTTAAAATCTTTAAAGCAACATCAGTTGTTAGTTCAGATTCCTGCTAGCTGTGGAATTAATTTCTCGGTGAGAATGAATTTCTGTTCAGAAATGCCTGTCTTTGAGAGCAAAGGATACGTAGACTTTTTGATGCATATTTTGCTGCCTTGTTGACCTGAAAAGAAATAAAAACAAGTTGATGATGAATCAAACTAGTGTGGGGTTGTTTTTTTTTTTTTTTTGGCTGCCCATAAACTTTGTTCTGTTTTTCTAATTAGTGGTGTAAAGCTTAAAGCACTTAGGAGTTTTAGCCTTTTGCATAATGCAAGTTAAGTCTTTTGAATGATGAAAAACTGAAGAATGTTGATGTTGATTTTCTCGAATTACTTGTTTCTAAGTCTTCAATTAGGTAATTTTGACAAAGCTTCACAAAGCAGTTCATTATGGTTGATTGCCATAATTACTGTTGTATTGTTTGGTTCCAGGTGGTGGCATCCTGTCGTAAATTTACTTCTGAAATTTACTTCCGATTTTTTTTCTCCATTAAGGAAGGCAATATTTTGTCAGTATCTCACAAAATGTTTTAGCAAGTGAATATATCTGAAAGTTTTTGAGATTCATGGTTGATTAACAATGTTAGGATTCTTTCTGTGAATTTATGTATTTTATACCGTGCATCTTTTATCACTTGTCAATTAGCCAAGGTTTGTTTGGTGAAACTTCTTGAAGAGGTATATGATAGTTCCAAATCTTTACATATAATTTGTATACCTTAAAGGTATAACCAAGACTTGTTAGTTATTTTTTTCTGTTTCAGAGATTGAACACACAGTGATGGCAATGATTAGTATATTTTGGAGGTCACCTGCGAGTCAGTGGCAGGTCTGTGTACTCAGTTGCATTACCAGCCAGAAGAGGTCTGTTGTGCAGACTGCAATGGGCTAGATTAATTAACAGGTCATTAATCAGGTTAATAGGTTAAATCAATATCCCTCCTAATGGAAATTAAAATTTATAAAACTAAATTAAGATTTGTAAAAAATGAAACAACATTTGTCTCACTTTGTCCAAAAGGTGAACTTGAGTTTGCCAGTCGACTATTTTGTGTGGTGTTAGCTGTAGATTATATTTTAATGTGCTTCTTTAATATGTGGATTTTGCTTTGTTGTTGACGTTCTCTTTTTCTTGTTTTGTTTTGTTAAAGGTTTATAAACAAAAATAGAATCAGTTGAGACACAGGAAAAATATACATGGGGGAACATGGGGGGAATTCGATATCATTTTGGTAGGCAAAAGCGATCTTTTCGCAACTGTTATTTTGGAAAGCCGTGACCAGCATTAAAATATGTAAATCAAATATTTTTAATAAATTGCAGTTTAAGTATATTAAAAGCTAATACACTAGAGGGCAGTATTTATCTTATTATTATTTATTTATTAAGAAAAAGCATATGTAGGTGCTTCCTTTTCTGATTCACTGTTTGATTGTTATGCCTCTGTTTAATTATCTGTCTTGACTTCTTGGGCCCTTCTCTAGCAAGCTTTTGGACTATTATTATATATGTAAAGTCAGGGAAATTGTCATTTGACAAAATTGATCCAAAAATGCATAATCGTTAGAAATGTAGTTACGTACCAAAAGTTTCTGTGGCCCACAAATTTGAAATTTATTTAAACTAGGTAAATGATGTCTGATGATGTCTGAAAAACAGAATGGTAGAAAGTGAGATAACTTTTTCTTTTTTTCTATCTTTTTCTTTAGTTTTAGATTACATTTATTAATAAAATTGTGTAGACAGAGGAAAACTTTGAAATATTTGACCAGAAAAGCTGTTTACTTTTCAAAATTGTCCAGGTGCTTGTATAAATAGACAGGTAAGGTATAATAATTTAGGACCTGAATTTTCAGTGTGAAAGCTTTTTCTGATCTGCATATGAATTTATCAAATAATCTTCAAAGAAATAGCTTATCAGTGAAAAACCAACAGTAATGTAAGGTACAAGTGTATACATGGAGATCTATGGTAAGTAGATAGTGAACAGTAAATTCATATCTATGTTTATTGTGCACAGCTTCCACTTGTGGAAGAAAAGTGAGATTATTTTAACTTTTTCCACCCAACTTTTCAGGTACTGGAGTTGGCCAGTAAATTCCACTCACTTCTGTCTTGCTTTTGTTTAGCAGTAAAATATGGCAAAAAGATTGTTCTAAAACCTATGTCAGAAGGAGGAAGAACAAACAAAGGAAAGGGAATTTCCTAATTTTTGATGGAGAAGCCATTCATTTAATGCTGTCTGGATTCCAGTTTTCTCAGTATTTTTCATAAGAATGAGCACCTAACTATATTTGTGTGTCACATTGAGTCCAAGTATCCAAGAATGCGGATATAGAGTGTTTTGTGCAAGCCAGCTTTTTTCATCCTTCATTTGAAATAAACCAAATCTTTGTGAAAACTAAAAGTATATGGGTCAGATAGGGCTTTTCAGAGTGCTTCTGAAGTCAAAAAGTGTGGTGGGAATGTTGTGCTTCCCTAATGTGAAAACAAAAAATGAAGTGATAACTTTTTGGAAATGCTGTGTTTGTGGTGTGTGTGTGTGTGTAACTTCCATACTTTTTTTTAATGTTACTTATTTTCTTGAATAAACTGTTAAAACTGAAGTGACTTTAATTTCAAACTTCTTTATTTTGTTCACAGACTTAAAGATACAGTAGGGCATGCATTAAGGCTTTCTGTTTTCTAAACTGAATTCATTATCCTTATTAGGTTATCCTTGGCAAGTACACTTGGCTTTCATATGAGGATGTATACATTAAAGCTGTTAATTTTGGAAATGGCTTAGCAGTATTGGGTCAGCAACCAAAGACTAACATTGCTATCTTCTGTGAGACTAGAGCTGAGTGGATGATTGCAGCTCAGGCTTGCTTTATGTGTAACTACCAGCGTAAGTATGCATCTTTTCTTAAAGTTTTATGACTTTTTATTTTGTAGCACGATCTGAAAATAAGCCTTTTACTTTGTTTTATACAGGAAAAGTTCATATGAATTAAAATCAGGATATAAAACATTTAAAATTGCAAATAAAATCCTCATTGCACAAGCTAGTTACTCCATACTTTGTGATGTTTTGCAGAAAAGCCTGTATCTGTTTGCACTTGGCTTCAGTAAATGCATCTTGCTCAATAAATTCGTGACAGAGCACTTTACTTTTTCATTACTCTTATATCAGTACAGATTACCAGGCCTCTAAAAACAAACAAAAATCACGTATGAATCCATTGATTCGGTTTAAGGAGTTGACATCAAACCTTCGTCTCCAAGTTTTGTTTTAACTGGACATTGTGTCAGTTCTTCAATCTTGATTTGAATTAGAGTTTATCGTACTGTTGTTCTCTCCAAAATGAAGAAGACTGAGCGAGTCCTGGGCTTGCTTTGACAAGCGCTTTCTACGGAGTGTTGTTCAGTAACTCTTCCTCTGCCAAAACCCTAAGCTGCTCCTTACCCCAAACCTTGCTTATTTATTCATCCTCCTCTACTGAGAAATCTATGGATCCTCTTTTCTTCTTACTGCTGGGGGTGTGTTCGTGTGTCAGTGTCATTGATGTCATTAGTGACTGGCTACCTGCCACAGCCCCGTCCTGAGACAAGGTTCGTTGGCAAACTCTGCTGTTACTCATCTTGTAGACTAATCTAAATATCAGTGCCCTTAGTAGCTGTTGGCCTCTCTAGGGCCATGTTTGCCCTCTATTTTCAACTTGTCCTCATTAAGCTGAGTCCCATCCTTTAACCCTAGCCCTAGATGCCCAGACTACACTGAAAAGTTTGGCAGTAGCATCCTCCACTTGTTCCAAAGTATGCCTTCTAATACCAGGGGCACTGTCACTCCATTATTTGTATTTCGGTAAATGTTAAGCTTGTCTCTCATTTTATCCTAAGGTTCATTGAAACACAGATTTACTTATTTTTGTATGGAATAACCCTATCCTAAAGATATTTTGGTCATTTGTTTTCCGTGGAACATGATCATATTTCCTTGTGTATTCTTCACTAAACGCTCATTTAACCTGAATGTTGATTTGAGACCATGCTCAAGGACAGACTTGGGGAGTCCTCATTCTTCCTTCGGAAGCTTTAAGACTGCTGCCCAACATTTAATTTGGGTGAACGGTCTGTAGGCAGCTTCCTGGTCATACACAGTGTCTAGGTTGTCATACATTAACTGGATCTTTAACCCTAGAAGTGAACTGAGGTGAGATTCTCCTGATCTCTACTAGAGCAATACTCATTTTCTCATGAATTGACTACAAAAGAAGTGTCCTGTGTCATTTTTTTTTCAAAGGACGTTTTTAATCCCATTCTGTAACTTGCAGTTTACTTTTCCTTTAGTCTTCCGCTGCTTTACTGCTGAGCCCACTGGCTGTGTTGAGGGAAAGCTGGGTATGCCCGAGGAGGAGGACGGGCTTCCTTGGCAGTCGCAGACCCTTTGCTGTTTGTGGGCTGGGATAACCCCTTGCACCGGTACAGCCTGGGAGAGAAGCAGATGGAGAGCAGCTCTGCAGCAAAGGAGCCAGGGCTCTTGGTGGACACAAAGCTAAACGTGTATCAGCAGTGTCCCCGTGCAGTGTCCTGGGCTCTAGTGGCATGGCTGCAGCAAGGCAGGTGCAGGAGAGCCATCCTTCCCCTCCGCTGGGCATTGCTCAGACCATGTCTGGAGTTTGGGTCTTAGAGTACAGGATGGACATGGGCATGCTGGAAAGAGACCAGGAGGACGGGCTGCGGAGAAGGACGGGTGGTTGGAAAAGGAGGTGTGTGTGTTGGTAGGACAGCGGGTAACTGACATGAGCTCAGATGCAGCAAAATCTGCCTAGTTATTAGGAGGACATTTTTCCCGTTATGGGTAATTAAATACCAGAGCTTAGAGCTGTTGTGGACTTTCTGTCCTTGGAGATGCTCAAAGCTTGACATGGCCTTGAACTGATGACCTGCTGGGCAGAGGGGCTGTGCGACTTCCCAGGTGCTGTCCAGCCTAAATTGTAGTTTTGCCCTTTATTCACCGAGTGACTGCTGCAAACTTTTCTCCTGGAACAGAGATATGCGCAAGCTGTTCTCAGATGAGATGTCTGCCTTGTCTTGTAATTACAGTTCTCACAATATATTTTGGCAGTTCTCTATTTTCACTTTTGTGTTTTAGTAAATTCTTATTGACTTATTCCTGGGAAGAAGTATAAATGTTTGTCTCATTTATTTTATCTTTGGAAGTGAACGATATTTGCGAATTCTAGGAATATTTCATAATTTAAAAACATCTGACATAGTGACTGGACGGATATCATGTATTTGGAACGGTATGCATATGTTTCTGGTTTGGTTAGATAAATGTTTTAGATTCCCTTTTTGAGACGTGCTTCAGCGCACTGTCTGACGTGATATTTGGTGTCTAAGCTGTGTGTGATCTTACATGAACTTGGCTGACTTGTGTGTTGGCAGATGATGATACTGTTAGGCAGTGTTCACGTAGTCATTTTGCCGAGCAAATTACAAAATTCACTTTTTTTTTTTTTTTTTTTTAGGAGCAGCATGGCCAAACATTGCCAAGTAGCTTATTAATATTAGCTTTATTCAGTTTTCAAATTTTGTGAGAGCAAACTGTTCCGATAGTGTTGTGACATTCTTTCAGAATGTGAAATGTATTACACATTATGGTATGTGTGCAGGACTTAGGCCAACATCAGCTACACATGCTTCATATCTCACTTTCGAGACAATGCCTTTTGCACTGCAGTATTAGCATGGGGAAAATCATTTTTATATTAGGTATAACGTGCAGATAAATGAAATATCTGTAAGCTCTACCTTCCTGCGTGCATGTTTGGAAGCTAGGAAAGCCTTGCAGGAAGAGAAGGGACTGCTGGTCCTCGAAATAGAAAGAACAGAAATAGTAGAAGGCTCCAGAGACATTGCATCCAAAGGGTCTTTTCTTCACCTGTATGCATCTGCTCACACTGGTGCAGAGCTGGAACACCTGAGTGTGGAACTAAGTCATGGAATAAGTCGGGATCCGTGGTCCGGTGACACGTCCCTGCAGCCTCAGCAGAAGTGCTTTTGTCAGGATTGAGTTCACTCTGAGGCCTTCGGCAGTTTGCTTTCCTCCTTCCATTTGATACGTGAGGGAGGGTGAGATGATTTTTTTTTTTTTCAGGGCAGGATTTTTTCTTGCGTAATAAGGTAGCAGATTCTTTGTTGTTAAGAAATTCCCTAGAGCAGTTTTCCTAGAGAAAAAAAGGGTTTGAGGTGTTAGTGTGGAGAAAAGAGAATTCCCCAGGTCAGAATGACTGCTCGCTTTTCTTCTCTCCATGACATTGTACACCATCTTATAAACGGAATATCTCTCAATTTCTCTGCTTTTATCATATAGCTGTGAGTTGTTTTTGGTGTATTTATTTTGTAGATGAGTAATTATATAATTGGTTATTTGAAAGATTAGACTCCTCTTTGTAGCTCATGTGGTGCCTCAGTGGTGCTTGCTGGCTCGGGGAGGCTGAGCTTCTGCTCAATGTTTATTTAACAGGGGTCACCCAAGGAAGTAGCGAGAGCTCGTGGGAACTGGTCGGGACACTCCGCTGGACTCTGCTCCCACCAAATTAAAGCAAACACTGTGCATGTGCATTTGCCCTGCAACAGTTCTGAACTATGATAGACTGTTTTAACAAGGAAAAAAATAAGTAGAGGTCATCTGTTTACTTTTTTGTGCAAGGAAACTGTCTGCTTAGTTTGCCACCCTGAGTTAGTAACTCTTTGAATTTCAAATCATTGCCCACGGCTTTGTCTTTCTCTGCAGTAAAGGTGCTGCTGTCAAAGCTCTAACTCTCAGTAGGGTCTTTTGTTTTAATAATTGTCGTGTTTAAATTTAAATTGTCGTGTTTAAATTTTCAGTGAACTGTCTAGACTGAAGTACAAACGAAATTCAGATATCTCCTGTGACAAAACTTCTAGCATTGCTGTTGTAATTTTTTAATGATTATAGTAATTAATCTTAACTGCTTCAAATGTGAGCTATGCTGAATTGCTATACTCTCATTTTGTATTGTGCTTGGAGAATGGAAAATTGCCTTTGTTTTTAAGATATCTCCCTTCCTAAACTGCTGGTTTCTTTCCTCAATCTTTTCCTATGTGTAACTTGTTCTTTTCTTCTCATGCAGTTCCCATAAGAATAGCAGGAAATGAAGATTGGGTTTAATATGGTCAATATGAAAGAATTATGATCTAACACTGTTGCTAATGAACCACTCCTAAAAGAAACAAAGTGTTTAAGGAATAGACAGTTAGGAAAACTTTATTTTCTTTCCTTGTGATATTGTGTTCTCACAATGGTAGTTCAGTGTCTAGTGGTTGTGGTGATTAAACCTTTATTAACTTGCTTTAAATAGATAAGAGAACATGACAGTCAAAGATCTATTACTGAATGTGGGAATTAATTTCTTGATAACATGTATTACAGTGCTTTAATAGTTCCTTACATGAAATCAGTTCTGAGCAGTGTGAAACAAAATGAATTCTAAAAAGAGAAATTAAGAAATCAAGCCGTTTTTCCTGTGTAGGACTGTTAAATTGTGTAAAATTGTGTAAAATACTGTGTGTATTAATTTGAGAAGAGATACCTGCGTTTAAAATAAAAGCCACGAAGATAAGAGAGGAGGTTTAGAAGAGAATTACACAGAACAATGTGGCTTTCAACAAATAGTAAATGATCATATGAGCAATATATGTTATTTATTAGTTTTGTGACCAATTGAAAAAATAATTTTCTTATCTTTCTTTCAGTTGTTACACTGTATGCTACGCTGGGAGGCCCAGCAATAGTACATGGATTGAACGAAACTGAGGTGACCACCATCATTACCAGTAAAGAACTGATGCAAACAAAATTGAAGGTCAGAAAAATGTTATTTACTTGTGAATCTTTCTCTAGTGCATCTGATTCATTATTGTTATATGATGCTTGTAGCTGTACGGAACAGTGATTGACTTCCTTGCCCTTCTATAGTGCAGGCACTTCTCTTAAAACAAGTTTTGTCTTCATGTGCTCACTTGAGTGTCTGTAGTTGTTTCAGAAGTTGTGTTTTGCTCAATGCTTAACTGCCGTGTAAGCAATCATTTTCTGTGTTAACTGCTGCATATTTTAAATAACTCAGGAATAGGCTATTTACGTAGGAATATAGGAATTACTGTGAGCTCAGGATTGCCCAGGACATCTTTTGTCCGTGTTCTACGAGAGTGGAAGGTCAATCACTTCTACAAATCTTGCCTGTCTTATTTGTAGGCATTTCTTGAAGTTAGCCTCAGGTTGGTAAATACCTGGAAAAAAAAAACTTGAGGAATTCTAAGTGCCCAGTTGAACTAATTTTGCAAACCTAAGGTCAGAAAGCTTCCAGCTTGGCAATCGTCTGAGCTAGAAGAGGTTATTACCCAGTACTTTAAATCCACTGACATTTCCGATCAACGTTTTCGCTGCATGCAGTAGAGATACTGTGTTTTGTCGTTGGCACGACGTTCCCACGTGCTTTGTGAACCCCTGCCCCTTTCCGCAGGAGATCGTTTCCCAGGTTCCGCGGCTGCGGCACATCATCACAGTGGACGGGAAGCCAACGACGTGGGCCGAGTTCCCCAAGGGCGTCATCGTTCACACCATGGCCTCTGTGCAGGCCATGGGCGCCAAGGCAGACACCGGTGGGTCCTCCCTGCTGCCCCGTCTGACCCTGTTGAGAAATCTGAGGAAACTGCAGGGCTTGGAAAAGCCTCGGAAAATGCTGCAATGCAATGATTAACCTTTCTGATTAACCTTTTCTGATCTACTTTATTTAAAGCAAAAAATCTTTTTAGTAAAGTGGAGTCAAATACTTTCAGTGAAAACTGACTTCTTTATTACCAAGCTTGAGGAGTAATTTTTAGGATAAGCTTTGGTCTAGGATAGACATTTAGAAGTTATTCGTATAATGAGATATACTAAAAACAGGATATTCAGAACATGCAGAGAAAATAGATTCTGCATTTTTATGGTGAATGACATGAGTAATTTGCAACAGTTTTAAATCTTGTTAAATTCCCAAAGGAAATATAAAATAGCTATTTAAATCTAAATAAATCTAGATTCAGAACTCAATTTCTTTTATTACATTTCTGAAAATATCAGATTACTATGTAAAATGATTCAATTCTATTTTCAATTGATCATGCTTTTTAGAGTTAAAAATCAGTTGCCAGTAACAATTTAATCTTGTCTCTAAGGTTGCTAAAACTAGTATTTTAAGATTGGGTATTTTAAGGTTTGATTATACGCAGCGGTTGCTTTCTTGTTCCGTGTGCTTTCAGAATCTTTTAATCACTGAAGGCATATAAATATCAGATGTAATTCTGTTGTAGAAGCTGGCGGGTGGTTAATCCATCTATTGATTTTCAGGGAAATGGCAGGTGTGTTCCCAGCGTGGTGGGCTCTCTAGCTCTCTGCTTCTTTAAAAGGTTATCTTCCCCTTTTTGGATGTGCCAGTTCTATCTACTTCTCAAACTGTTCCAGACAAAACCCACAGAACAAATTACTGCTCTAATTTGAGTAGTTAAGATTTATTGATCTGAGTGCTATGTAAAATGAGATATAATTCTTCTTCAGTCTTTTGAATATTGCATACTGTAAACTGTAATAAAGGAACATTACATTTGTCAAGTCACCCATTTGGAAATTATGGAGTACTACAGTTAAAATTGCTTATAGTCTGATATTTTCAATTAATATTAAGTAAATGTGCTCATTTTATGCTTTTTTCCCCGTTTGTCATTTATTATATGGAATTTGCAGGACTCAGTGGGTGGGAAACTATTAAATGTATATTCTCCTTTAGTGGGTATGTTGTGCCACAATTATTGCACATAGTGTATGTCCAGAGGAGAGTTTGCAAAACGCTTCTCTTATTTTCTTGCTCTCAGTTTAAGAATGAAAAAGAAATCACTTTATAGTTATTTTTATTTAATATACTTAAATGCTTTAATTCTTTTGAAGCTGTTGAACTTTAAGAAAATATTTACAGATTTTTGGGCCTCAGTAGCTTCCTGCCATGTGTGCTGTGAATGAGGCAGAGTGTTGACACTCTGCTGGGGAAGCTCGTGACAAAGTAGTTTTGTAAATGAGGATTTAGCTTGTGCTTGCTGAAATCAGTGCAACAGACCTGAAAGGTGGGAAGCTCGGTGGTGTTTTGGAGGAGAAATGAAAGCTCAACCATAATCTTTTAAACTGAAAGCAAAACTTAGTACTGATGGTTACATAGTTATATATCAGAAAAATTGCTATCTTAGTATTTAGTGTCTTCTGATTTGATAGGCTTTCCACACATTATGCATTCTTTTTTACAATAAAGATTATTGGAAATTACAGGAAACAAGCAGCCGGCGAGGCCAGTGCCCTCGGATATTGCGGTAATCATGTACACAAGTGGATCCACAGGAATTCCCAAAGGAGTTATGATCTCCCATTGCAACATAATTGCTGGTATAACTGGAATGGCTGAAAGGATTCCTAATTTGGGGTATGTACCATCAATGCTTCTGTGTGCTTGGATATAATTTTAGATTATCTGTTTTATACAGCTTTGTCTGTGACGCGCCACATACTACACACTGTCTGGGCATCTTCAAGTACTGTGTTAAGTGACATCATTTTTCCATGTGCTGCCTTTTTTCTCATCTCCTGTATTTGGGAATACAGAAGAGTGCTTCTCGTTGGAGTGCTTTATTTTGGATGAGTTTGCTAAGAAAACACGCAGTTGAACTTTCTACCTCCCTGCCCCTTGGTCTGGTTTACGTCCTCAGATTGTAATTTGAGGAAAATAAGTCATCTTCAGAGACAAGTCTTGTCCAGTTAAGTGGCTCCTTAGTGTCAGAAATGCAAGCTGTTCCAGAAACACTCCTCCTGCTAGCTCTTTCACATCTTTCAAAGGAATTACTATAGGTTTCTTGCTTGCTTGCTTATCTGTTCAGTATTTTTACCTTTCAAATGAAAATATTACATCACTAAGAGAGAACTTAAAGGCAAATGGCAATATTCTGCTCAGAGTAACTGAGTTGAATCTTTAAAAATATAACTAAAGCCTGTGAGGCCACTTTGCACAAAGGGAATTACAAACTACCCTATGTAGTACTTACATTCCTTAGTGATAAATTATGAGGGTGTTTTTTTGTTTGTTTGTTTTTTAATATCAGGTGCTGTATTTAATCTGTTAAAGTCTATTTAGTATCTACTGTTTAATCTATTTAATTCTTCAGAGTTACATTTGCAAGGATAAGATAACATTAATTGTTTTGGTGTGAATAAGCATCACGCTCCGTTTGCTTTCATTAACCTTTCAATAGACAACTGTAAAAACAAACAAACAAAAAAAAACAAAAAACCCTCAAATCTTCAGTATTTGACATATATTCCTCTGCTCAAAGGCCGTCTTTTGTTTTTTTTCTAGTTCTTCAGTGAGCTCCTTGTGAATTCAGCACACTGACTTTCCTGAGGACTCTAATCAACCTATTTTTTAACAATTCTTCACAGGGAAAAAGACATCTATATTGGCTATTTGCCCCTTGCTCATGTTCTGGAGCTAAGTGCTGAACTTGTCTGTTTGTCTCATGGATGCCGCATTGGCTACTCATCTCCTCAGACATTAGCTGACCAGGTATGTTCTTGATGTATGTTAAGTCCATTTAGTAAAGTATTAGTCATGTTAGAGATGATAATATTTTTTCAAATATATCTTTTTTTTTTTTTTTTACAATTTATGAAAAGGAATTTTGCATTTATAACTATTACTCTGAACTAGTTTTAACTGCTAAAAGATAAATATAAATGATAACTTGCAAGATATACTATGTAATGTTGCTTCATGAGTTGATAATCTTGGATATGACCTCCTGTTAATTTATTCTTCACTTCAGTCCTCTAAAATAAAGAAAGGAAGCAAAGGTGATGTTACTACACTTAGGCCAACTCTAATGGCAGCTGTCCCGGTAAGTAACTTAAAGATGAATCACTTCTAAATATAATTCATAATTCAAATGTTTAACAAGAAAATTAATGCAATTATCAATGAAAATGATAAGGCAGAGCCTTGAAAGTTAAGTTAACTTAAAACCGTATTTTCTGCATTAATATATATGTTGGCATAAATTACTATAGGCATGCCTAGCTTGGAAAAATTTAAGGAGTTACAGGTTTTAGATTGACACATCAGGCTGTAGGCGTGCCTAGCTTGGAAAAATTTAAGTTACAGGTTTTAGATTGACACATCAGTTAAATGTTTGTGATAATAAACACTATGCATGCACATATGTGTATGTGTATACACACAGAGAGTTTAAATGCAGTCATTGTATGATGAAGATGACCCATGACATGGACTTTCCTTTTTTTGATGATTTAAGGAGTAGGAGAGAGAACCTGATTAGGCCTTTTGCAGGAAGAGAAAATACTTTTTACACCTCATAGCATCTTGAAGACGATAGTTGTCTATTTAGTTGCGTGCTGGGTTCACAATAATATCAGTGCAGTGCAAAGTGCTAGTCGGGAGATACATGGACTCCCACTCGTGTAGTACTCCATATTGTGATTTGTCATTTGAAATATGCAGAATTTATAGGTCGTGTTCCCTTTTTGTTGTATTGAATTTAAGATTACTGGTGCTTTAAATTGAAATTAATCCCTTTATGTAACTAGGAAATTATGGATCGGATCTACAAAAATGTCATGAACAAAGTGAATGAAATGACTACTTTCCAGCGGAATCTATTTATATTGGCCTACAATTACAAAATGGAACAGATTTCCAAAGGCTACACTACCCCACTCTGTGATAGGTAACTTGAAGTTTATTTTTTAATGGCACAAAAAAAGTAAAAAAAATTCCAAGCCTTACTGTGTGATCAGAGTCAGAGTTTTTGAAAACTTCCAGGTTTTCCTTAAATGTCATAAATTTTATTGGAAGTTGGTGAAAACTTTCAGTTCAGATATGAAATTAGCTTGTCCCTTGTTTTGATTTTAAGCAACAAATGTACATTCTTTTCTTTGTATTTTAGCCTTATTTTCCGGAAAGTACGAATGCTGCTAGGTGGAAAAATTCGTATCCTGCTCTGCGGAGGAGCTCCCCTGTCTGCAGCAACTCAGCGGTTTATGAACATTTGTTTCTGTTGCCCCGTAGGACAGGGGTACGGACTGACCGAGTCAGCTGGAGCCGGGACAATCACTGATGGTTGGTGCTGCTGCATCCTGCTGGGTGCTGTGATCTGTGCTGAGCGCTCTGCTTGCATTGACTTTGGGCTGTTCACCAAAATAATTAGGAACATGTGAGGCGTCCTCGTAATCATAAATT